CACTGTAACCTCCACCTCCCAGGTTCAAGCGATTCTCCTGCTTCAGCCTCCCAAGTAACTGGGAGTAGTCTGTCACCATGCCTGGCTGATTTTTTGTATTTTTAGTAGAGACAGAGTTGCACTGTGTTAGCCAGGATGGTCTTGATCTCCTGACCTGGTGATCCGCCTGCCTTGGCCTCCCAAAGTGCTGGGATTACAGGCATGTGCCACTGAGCTCGGCTTGTTACTTACGCTTTACAGTTGTGTTTCTCATGTCAGACCCTACAAAGCCTCTTTTGGCCTAAAATTCACAGTAACAGAGACTTGAATTCTCCTCCCTGAAGCAGCTGGAACCATCTCATCACCCTCATTCCACAACTGTGGGTGCTGGGGAGTCATTCCTTGTAGTCACCCTGTGGCAGAGGGCTGGGCTCCACTTGACAGCCTGGCCTCAGGCTGCGTGAGGCTTCAGATGGAGGCTTTCTCTTCAGTTGCCACACATGTGTCGTCTTTCAGGAATTAGAATTTGTATGTCTCTTGCTTCACCAAAAACAGGTTCTTTTTGGATGTTGGATACTATATGAGATGGAGACGTTGATACTGAAAACCTCAGAGATGGCAAATTCCTTTTCTGAAAGGTGCCTCCTCCTCCCATCTGGATATTTATTTTCTTTTTTTCTATTTATTTATTTTTATTTTTTGAGACAAAGTTTTGCTCTTGTTGCCCAGGCTGGAGTGCAGTGGCACAATCTCAGCTCCCTGCAACTTCTGCCTCCCAGGTTCAAGCAGTCTCCTGCCTCAGCCTCCCAAGTAGCTGGGATTATAGGCATCCACCACCACATCCAGCTAATCTTTTTATATTTTTTGTAGAGATGAGGTTTCAGCCTGTTGGCTAGGCTGGTCTTGATTTCCTCACCTCAGGTGATCCACCCGCCTCAGCCTCCCAAACTGCTGGGATTACAGGTGTAAGCCACCTTTTTTTTCATTTGTCTTTATGACCTCTTACAGTCGTAGAGCTGTGTGTGGACTTGCTTCTTCGATGGGAATAGTAAGGGGAGGAGTTTTGCACTGCACAGGAAAACATTTATATAACACTTTATAACAAAAAGTGCCATATAAACATAATTGTGACATAGTGGAAGGAGCATGGACTTTAGGTTCAAACGTGGGTTTGAATCTTGGATGATTCATTTAGCAGCTATGAACTGAGTACCTGCTGTTTGGTGAGCACTGGGTGAATATAGGCAGATAAAGTGGATCTGCCCTCGCAGCATGGGGCAGAGTCAAGGGAGTGGGAGGAAGAGCAGCTTTGAGAACTCTCCCTACTAGCTCTGTGACCCTGCAAGTTCTGTCCACTCTTTGTGCCTCAGATTTCTCATCAAAGAAGTAGTCACACCTACGATGCTGGGTTGTGTAGATTAGATTGATCACCTTTATGGAAGCACCAGCAGAACGTCTGAGGGAGGTCCCTGTAAACAGAATTCCCCTCCTGCGGCTGTTGGTGTAGGCATTGTGAGCCCCATTTTATGGATAAGAAAACTGAGAGCCAGAGAAATTTTGAGTAACTTGATGAAAAGAGCTCAAGTAACTTTCCTGAAGTCACATAGCTATTAAGTGAAAGAGCTGAGAATCAAATCCAGGTCTTTTGACTCAAAATCCTGCACTCTCTTTTTTTTTTTTTTTTTTTTATATATATATATATATATACAAAGCTCCCTTGGGAAAGACATTTAACCACAGTGAGCTTTACTGTTCATTGTGCTTATTTCCCATTTTAACTAGGAGCATTTTCTTGTGTCCCCATAGGACAGCCTGACCTCCACAAGGCAGGGACAAAGCTAATTGGAATAATAGGAGACCACTTTATTTATCTTTATTTATTTATTTATTTATCTGCCCAGCTGGCTGCACCCCGCCTGATGCCCCGTGGGCAGTCAGTGGAGCACATGAGGGGTTCTTGAGTTACCGCAGTCTCAGGTCATGGCAGCCCCAGGCCTTGCTTTGAGGATTGCCTAGCTTGCCAGGTCTTCATGAATGAGCCTACAGATCTCCTGGAGGCCAGGCTGGCCCTCCTGCTGCTTGTGCTTAGGAATTACTTCTCACGCTTAGAAATGAGATAGAGGGAACCCAAGCTTCAGTGCTTTCTGGGTTCTGGGCATCACCCTTGCCCTCCAGCACCTTTGATCCTTGAGCCCTGTATTGTGGTAAGAGAGCAAGCATGTAGGGTGAAGGAAGGGAGCTTTTACCCACTCTGAAGGTGTTCTGGCTTCTGATCTGCCCTTACAGCTCCAAGAGGTCAGCATTTGCACCCGCATCTTCATGGAGATGGAGTTGCTTTCACAAGTCATTCTGGGGGTGGCAGGAAGAGCATAGGCCTGGTCTGTTGACGCCAAAGCTCATGTTCTTCTGCCCCATGGTACAGCCCTGAAGACCCTCTATCTCAGGCTTCTCTATTCCTTCTCTGCCTCAGTGCCAAGGGTAGGGCCTGTAACGAAACTGTATTGGCATGCTGCTAACAAACCAGCCAGGTAGTGAGAAAGGAGTTGCTGAGTGGTTGCTGAGGGCTTCTGAAGCCCAGGTGTTATCTTGGCAGGGTGCAAGAATCTTTGTTGATGACAGAGTGGAAGTCCACTCTGCAGGTTGTGGGCGCCTCAGTAGGAGACAGTGTTTAACAAGCATGAGCTGCAGCCCATCTTGGGACTGAGTCTCCCTCTGCCCCTCTTCACTGCACAACTCTGAGTGGTCAAATTGTCCCGTCAAGCCTCAGTTTCCTATTGTGTAAAGGGAGGTGATAGTTTCTGCCCTGAGAATTGAAACACATAACATAGGCTGGGTGACGTGATGCCTCACGCCGGTAATCCCAGCACTTTGGGAGGCCAAGACAGGAGGATCGCTTGAGCCTAGGAGTTTGAGACCAGCCTGGGAAACATAGTGAGACTTCCCCCTATCGCTCAAAAAATAAAAAGAAACATAATGTTTATAAAAGCACTTTGCAAGCTGTATCTCAGTGTTGTCTTGAAACCCACATTTCCAGAGAAAAAGATAAATGCTCTAAGCCTATCCGTGGTAGAGGGAGGGTGGTTCTGTCCCAGGAGGCCAGCCTTATGAAGACAGCCCATTCTCTGGTTTGTCCCTTCCTCTAAGGAGGTAAGATCGGAGATCTTGCCTGTGTTCCACACAGTGCTCAGTCACGAAGTAATTAGTAGCTGGTGTTGGTAGAGTTTGTGCCTATGACAGCAATCCTTGTAAGTTCCTGGTGAGTTGCTTCTTGGTTGATTAAAGCAGGAGGTAAACAGTGTCATTCCTTGGAAAATCGAGGGTAGAATTGATTCTGAGAACTTCCCCAGCAGCTGGTTTTTCAACTCATGCAGAAGGGTTAATCACTCTGAGTGTCCTTTCCTGGGGCCAGTCTGTGTTAGGGCTAGATGTAATTGGGGGTTGTCAAACATCTAAAGAGAGCTCAGGGAAAGGAGAGGTGGGAGGTGTCAAAAGAGGCTGCTCTTTTGGTGAAAAGCAGAGCCAGCTTACCAGTGCCTTTGGAGTGCCTTCTGGGGACCGGCTGGGTGGTGCTGGCCCTCTGTGCTCTCAGGTTGCCTGCGGGAGAGAGAATGAGAACGGTCATTTATTGAACACATACCCTATTGACCCTCATGGGGATCCTCACTCATCAGGCCATGGGAGGAGGCTTGAAGTGCTGTGTCTTGTCCTAGTACTGCGGGGCGTGGAGAGCAGGAAGAGGCTTTGATGGCTGCTGCCTGAGTGGCTGGATTACTTGAGGTCAGGAGTTCGAGACCAGCCTGGCCAACATGGTGAAACCCTGTCTACTAAAAATAGAAAAATTAGGCCAGACGCGGTAGTTCACACCTGTAATCCCAGCACTTTGGGAGGCTGAGGCGGGTGGATCACTAGGTCAAGAGATGAAAACCATTCTGACCAACATGGTGAAACCCCATCTTTAAAAAAAAATTAGCAGGGCGTGGTGGTACATGCCTGTAATCCCAGCTACTCAAGAGGCTGAGGCAGGAAAATCGCTTCAACCTGGGGGGCAGAGGCTGCAGTGAGCCGAGATCGTGCCACTGTATTCCAGCCTGGGCAATAGAGTGAGACTCCGTCTCAAAATTAAAAAAAAAAAAAAAAAAAAAAAAAAAAAAAAAAAAGGAGGCTTCCTTCAATGCCGCCTGAAGAAAGAAAGAAAGGAAAAAAATGAGGCTTTAGATGAAGTCTGCTAGACTTCAGAGCCCGGCTCTTGCCCTGTGTTACCCAGCTTTTCACAATAGGGTGAGCAGGTCTTAGGCCTGAGAATCCCGCCTTGGCCTCAAAACAGGACCTGCTCTAGAAACAGCTGTGGGCGATTTGCCGTTCTTTGCTGTGTGCCAGAATCCCCCTTTGCTGCTCCTCTGCTGCGAGCTGCTGACTGTGCCTGCAACTTCGTCTTGCTGACCACGTGTCACCTCTGTCCTGAGGTGAACCCCTTGGGCCCCTGCCCTCAGCCTTTTCGCTAGTATGTAGTGTGTCTGCCACTCATTGGTCTTAACTGAGCAGGGCTTCTGGGAATGGCTATATGTCTTAGAGTCAGAAGATGGTGGCCCCCACTTTAATGAGACCCCACTCCCATAGGAGCTGTGGCCGACCAGATCTTTGTCTCCCAAAGCCAGAAGACACTGAAAAGGGTTTGAATGAACTTACACTTAGGAACAGTCTCAGCGACTCCCTCAGATGCCGTCTCCTCCCTGAAGTGGTCTTCAGTGTGCCTAGAGTTGGATGTTCCCTCTTTTTTTGAGACAGAATCTCACTCTGTCACCAGGCGCCAGGCTGGAGTGCAGTGGCATGACCTTGGCTCACTGCAACCTCCGCCTCCTGGGTTCAAGCAATTCTTCTGCCTCAGCCTCCCGAGTAGCTGGGACTACAGGTGGGCGCCACCACGCCCAGCTAATTTTTTTGTATTTTTAGTAGAGATGGGGGAATGTTCCCTCTTTAGGAGGGAGCGGTGAGTGAATGCTTACTAGGTGCCTACTGGGGGCTGGCCTGCTGCAGCCACTGTCAGCTGTCTCGCTGGTCCCCACAGTGTCTGTGTCAGGAGGGCCACTGCTCTTCCTGAGGGGAAGCTGAGAAGTCTGGTGACCTCTGAGGACTTCCTGCTACGAAATGACCTTCTTGGGTCTTCCCTGGCCCTCCAAATGTGTGGCAGCTGAGATGGGAAGTCGCCGCTGGGCCACGCCTGTGGATGCAGGGCCCTTCTGTTCCTCAAAGGGAAAATCAGTGTTTGATTGGCCACAGCCTTTCCAGCTAACGTTGCTTTTCCCTGTTGCAGAGAAAGTCGAGCAAAGCCAAGGAGAAGAAGCAGAAACGGTTGGAGGAGCGAGCAGCCATGGATGCCGTTTGTGCCAAAGTGGACGCTGCCAACAGGGTGACTCTCCCATTCTTCCCAGTCCTTGCCTCCTGGGACTTCCACTTGGTTTATAATTTGACTTATTTTGTCGCCACCCTGTGGCAGAACTGTGACACTACCCACTCACACCGTCTCTGTCTCCTTGCTGTTCAGAAAACTGAGCTTATACCTGTGTGTTGGGAGGAGGCGCCAGCAGTTGGCCCAGGTGTTTAGGAAAATGTGGATTCCAGTGAAGCAGCTGCCTCCCTGTGGATCTTCTTCCTTATGGATAGAGGAGGGTCTAGATAATTTTTTAAAATCTTTTTATGAGCAGGGTCTTGCCCTGTCACCCAGGCTGCAGTGCAGGGACAACATTATAGCTACTACAGCCTTGATCTCCTGG